TGTAGTGGTTTCCATAATATCCAGCTCTGTACATTTTAATCAAGATTTGAATTGAATTATTACTCAACACCCTGTCTTATTCAAATACAAAGTATGCTGGATTCCTATGTATTTATCCTGAAAAAATTATAGTTATTTTTTAACAGTAAATTTAAAACAGCAGCTGTATGTTTGCGATATGGAGATGTGCTTGTTTGCAAAGTATTTACAATTTTTATTTTATGCTTTTATAGTGAAATTTCCAGTGGCAAATTCCATATTATGAAGTCATACGGAAGTAAATTCTTAACCTCCTTGAACTACGCTTACTCTTTGAAAAAGGGCTCAGCTCTATTTGTGATCATTATCCAAGTGACAGTATTCATCTGAGTAAGGAGTATGTATGTATGGAAAACACCCAAATAATAAAACTGACGTACAGCATTTAATACAATGGGAGGAAAAACTGCAATGCAGTTTCCTGTTATTTATCAGATTGCAATTTCTCCTTCAAATTCATTAGTACTAGACATAATATCATTTCCCTAATATGTGAAAACATCATATTTGAGATGGAAAACACTATTAGGTAGGCAGCGTGGTTTTAAGAACAGTAATTTTGGAGTTAAAAGACACGAATTCCAATGATTTTATTTTCTTACTAAATTTAACTTTTTAAAAGACTTAGATGATGAGGCCAGAGCAGTAGTCTGAAGGGTAGGACATTTTTTTTGCACACAGCTGAGCCAGCTTGAACTCAGCAGCCCATCTGGTTCCCTGAGACTGCCAGGAGCAATCCCCGAGCGAGGAGTGAGCCCTGAGTACAGCGGACTGTGGGCCCCCAAATAAACAAACAAACAAAAACAAAAAACAGAAAAAAATACCTGAATGATTACTTTAATCTTTCTAAATTTCAAGGTTTTAATTTGTAATATTGACAGAATGATCTAAAATAACTTGTATGATCAATTTTCATCATTTTCTGGCTCTACATTTTGTGATTCTAAACAGTTCACAACTATAAATAATAGTTCAAAAGTCATCCTTTGTTTATTAGCTAATAAATATAATTTATTAGAACATTATAGATCAATGTTGAGACAAATGACTAAAATTGACATGGTCTCTGTTCTTCTGGAGCTTGCAATTCAGTGGAAAAATAGGCACTATCCTAATAATTATGTCAAATTATTCGTTGCTTTTGTAGAAAGTACTACCAAGAAAGCTATTCAAAGTTATGTAATATAATTAAACCTGGTTTAAAATGCTAAAAAAAGATACCTTTGACTAAGAAACATAAACTGAGACATAAGGACAAGAACCGGTCATTTAATTGTGAGTATAAGGGAAGTCTAGATAGAGATAATAAAGTGAGTAAATTCTCTGAAGAGATTTCTTGACCTAAGTAAGCTGCAGATATCAAGTGAGTATTCATGGAAATCTCAGTAATGGTGGCATGAAATAAGAGTGGAGAGATGATGCAAATATACTCCACTTGGTGCCGTAATAAAAGTATTTAGTCCTGGTAATAAATACTTAATGACTACAATGATACATATAAATAAAGGATTTTGAAATAGAGATGTGATGAAATTGGTTTTGCTTTTTTAAAAAATTACTTTGACAGTACATGGAGGTTATGTAGTTTTAAGGAGAGTTGATGAGTGAGATGACCATGATTTGTCAGGATTTTTAAAATATGGACATAAATGTATAGATTTGTACATATATGTATTCATATACATATATGGTAGGAACTTTCAAAAGTGTGATTAATTTGGATATGAGTGTTGAAGAAGTGTGACATCTCAAAGTAATTTTCTATTCTCAAATTTCTGGAGCGATAGCACAGCGTGTAGGGCATTCGCCTTACAAGCGGCCAACATGGCCGACCCGAGTTCGATTCCTCCGCCCCTCTCGGAGAGCCCGGCAAGCTACCGAGAGTATCTCGCCCGCATGGCAGAGCCTGGCAAGCTCCCCGTGACGGATTCGATATGCCAGACACAGTAACAACAAAGTCTCCGATGGAGACGTTACTGGGCCCGCTCGAGCAAATCGACGATCAACGGGAGGGCCTTTACCTTTACCTTAAGTGTGGAAAACATACATTAAATCAAAATATGTCTGAGGAATTATCACTTTGGAGAAGACTAATGGGTTCAGTTTGGAAAAAGTTTGTACTTCCTATGCTACACCTAACGAATATGCTGAATCACCTTAAGGATAACTAAATCTGTTATTACATTATATATTATAAAATTATGAATTATTAAAATTACTAAGTTATCTAGATGAATTAAGTTGCCAAGGTAGAAAATACAAAAGAAAAGAAAAAAGGAGAAACATTAGTCAAAAAAAACTACTGGTAATATTATATATGCTATAAAAATATAAATTTAGAATTACATAATTTATCTAAAACAGTGAAATTTGGTTGCAAGATACAAAGTATATTAAAAAAAAGAGCGGAGAAGAGATAAAAAAATAAATGGTACTAGGCAAAGGCTCAGGAGAGAAGCACATATAAACAAAAAGATAGAAAAAATAAAATAGAAAAATAATTGAAATACAAAGAAAGAAAACACGATCAGAGAGGGAGCAAAATTAGTGGCAATGGAGATGTGAAGAAGCCAAGGTAAAATATATTTCCCCAAACAATCTGATCATTGCTGTGGAGAGTTCTGAAAAGTCAAAGTGATACTTTGACTCTTCCGTAAAATTATCCATTTGTACAAGACACAGGGATTATTGGAGAGCTTAACAGAAGAAGTTTTGATTAAGCAGGTGAAACTATAAATGAGTAGACTAAGAAATTAATGAGAGGAAAGAGAATGACATGACTGCTGTCCAGATTGCCTGATCATAAAAGAATGGGGAAAGACAGTGACTGAAAGTGGGGAGAAAATTTAATGGTGTTGTTCAGTGATGGGAGATGCATTTTAATGTTGTTGTTAAGAATCTAACAGGGGGGATGCCAATTGACATCTATTTCTAATGCTAGACCTCAGCTGGAGAGTTTTCCAGTCTAGGACAGATGTTTCCCTGCACAGGCTACCATCTCATCCAGGGGCATTAATATTGCATATACCCCTTCCTGCTGCTGGTTTTACCCCAAAGCACTAGAACAATAGTGCAGGCATGTGACATGTGACAGCTCTATTCCTCACACTCCACACACTTACATCTCCCTTTGTGAGTGCACAGATTGGAGTGCATCTCTGAGTGCCCCGGGGACCTAGTATGATTATTAACCCACCACTTCTTCTGTAAACTTACACTTCAGAAAAAAACTCACAAAAGAAATGCTGGCAGTAAGAAATCAGAGGGTCTCAGATTGCATGCATTCATCTGGGGAACATAAAGTAACAAAATAGGAGACTAACACCCAAGAATAGTTGAGATAAGTACCAGGAGGTTCACTCCATGGCTTGGAGGCCAGCCGCACATGCTAGGGGAAAAGGCAGCTCAGATAGAGAAGGGAGCACCAAATAAAGGGTGTTGAGAGGATCCTCCTAGGATGGGAGATGCATGCTGAAAGTAGATTATAGACTGAGCATGATTGCCACTCAATGCCTCTTTTGCGAACCACAGCACCCAAAAGGAGAGAGAGAACAAAAGGGAATGCCCTGCCACAGAGACGGGGAGTGGGGGGCTGTGGGATGGGGGATGGGGGATAGGAGGGATACTGGGATCATTAGTGGTGGAAAATGGGCACTGGTGGAAAGATGGGTACTTGATCATTGTATAATTGAAACCCAAGCACAAAAATTTGTAAGTCTACAAGCCTACCTCATGGTTTCACTAATAATTTTTTTCACTAATAATTTTTTTAAAAATAAGATTGAAACCAAAGGGTACAGCATGGGGTACAGCAGGGCCAAGATGACTTACAAAAATACCCCTATAATCCACACCAGTCACAGAAGCAAAACCCAAAACAGCAGAGATTACCTGGGAAAGGTCTCAGAAGGAAGTTAAAGAGTTACAACTACTTGAATGTGTCAGAAAATTACTGTAGGGACTAATCACAAGAATTCACCCTTAAAACACACACACACACACACACACACACCATGGAAAATGTGCATAGAAGGTCACCATTAGGTAAATGAAGATAATACCCTTGAAGGCTCGCTCTATAGTGCCAACCAGTTCTATAAGTTCTCAGATAATGACGTTAGAAATACCATGTGGAAGATATGTAATGAACACAAGAAATGATGATACTGTTAATTTAAGCATGAGAAAATATGAGATAAGAAACTATAAACATAAGTGATAAGAGTTGACAAGTGTACTTCGTATAATAAAAAGCAGTGGAAGACCTCAGCAGTAACTGAGAAAACACTCTGCGAGCTCCAAGATGAAATGCAGGAAACCTCTAGAAAACAATTTAATATGAAAAAAATTGAAAACAAGTGAACAACATACCAAAGAATTGTAGGATAAGTTCAAAAGAGCAATATAAGAACCATCAAATTCCCCAAGAAACACGGAGAAATCAAAGGAGAATTACTAGCCAGTGAAATGACTGAGAATGTACAACAACTGAGGAATGCATGCTCCCAGATTCAAGAAACTCAAAATGTTCCAGGTTAAAACAAACCCCAAAGAAAAACCCCAAAGATACATTTTAATCAGAATGACAAAGTCAAAGGCAGAGAATACTGAAAGCAACCAGGTCAAAAAAGGAGCTTAGATACAAAGGATCTTTCATAAGATTCACAGCTCATCTATCAAATGAGACCCTACAACCAAAGGAGAATGTGGGATACAGCAAATAAATAAATAAATAAATAAATAAATAAATAAATAAACATGTCACCAAGAATATTCTATTTGGTTAGGTTTTCAGCCAGACATGCAGGAACAATTCCAACCTTTATGGACAAGAAACAGCTTGAGAAGTTCATAAACTTGCAAGAAGCATAAGAAAAGATCTTCTTAAAGATACAAATAAATGTTACAAACAAACCTGAACTCACCAATGGCCTGAACTCACCAATCAAGAAATAGAGTGGAAGACTATACTTTCAGGAATCATGTCTATAGTTTGTTACTAGAGAAGTTTCTCTGATCCTATAGAGCACCTGAAACTATGAGGAGGAGCCATAGCATCCTCTCCTGAGTGTGAACTGTTTCTAGGTGTTGTTTTCTAACTCTTTTACCGTTGATGACTATTCTTCTCACCCTTGAAAGAGTGAGAGGGAGAGGATGCTGTCTGAGTGGTTTTGAGAAAGAAAGGAAGAAAGAAAGACAGACGACAGAAAGAAAGAAAGAAAGAAAGAAAGAAAGAAAGAAAGAAAGAAAGAAAGCAAGCAAGCAAGCAAGCAAGCTCTAGGATGGATCAGAAAACCAGCCTAACCTCAGTCTCAGATACTTATCTGTAACAATCAAAGTAAGCATAAGCTCAAAAGGCTAGAAAGCAATTTTATAGGCAAAATATTTCCTTAATAGGCTGGAGTATTCATATGTCACTATCACTGAAATCCTGTTGTTCATTGATTTCCTAGAGCAGGCACCAGTAACATCTCCTTTGTCCTAGCCCTGAGATTTTAGAAAGTGCCACATTCGAGGCTCTTTCAGGGTCAGAAGAATGAGACCTATCATTGTTACTTGTTTTTGGCATATTGAATACGCCACAGGGGGTTTGCCAGACTCTGCTGTGCGGGCAGGATACTTTCGGTAGCCTGCCAGTTTCTCCAGAGTAAGAACTAGATAATAAGATTCCGGGAGCTGGGTTTTATAGTCTCTGGGTCTTGACCATTGATAGGATTACACGGTGCCGGGGGGCAGTTGGTGGGTGTAACGCCTGCATACTTGAAGATGGGGGATCTGGGTGGAGGAGGCCCAGTACCGATCTGAGCAGGTTTGGAGAACTAAGCCCCAGGACCCGCACACCTTGGTTCCTCTGCCGGTTTCTTCACGCGTGAGGCTCATCCGAACGTGTGGAAAGTGATCTTGAGCATGTCTGTGGCTGGAACTGGAGGTCTTCAGCTGCTGGAGCTCTGCTTGGGGCAGGGAGGGGAACTCAACCCGCCCTCCTCCAAGGGGCCCTGGTGAGGACAGCCAGGCACGGAGGCAGGAGACTCTGCGCTGTTCTCTTCCAGGAGCTGGGTTTTATAGTCTCTGGGTCTTGGTGTAATCCAATATTATTCCAGAAATAAAAATCAAGATTGACAAATTATTAGCTAGACTCACAAAGAAAAGTAGATACAAAAGAAATGAATGAAGCTAGTTTTGGACTCTGACAAACTTTCAAGGCTGAATCAAGTGCAAACACAGCACTAAAATATACCAATTACCAACAAGAAAACTGAAATGGTAGTCAAAATCTCCCTACTCCCCTCAAAAAATTCCCATGCCATATGTGTTTACTAGAGAGACCTTCCAAATCTAAAAGACTTAATTAAAATCTTCAAGTTCTTCCAGAAAGTTAAAGAAACAAAAATTTCCCCCAATAATTTCTAAGATGCAAGCAATATTTTGGTACCAAAAGCAAGCAGACATCACTAAAAATTAAGACCTATATTCCTGATAAGCATAGATGTAAAGATTATTAACAAAATAATAAGTTAAATTCAAATAATGCATCAAATATATCGTGACCAAGTAGGATTTATCTCAGGAATGCCAGGATGGTTTAATATACACAAAGTAATCAATGTAATATATGCTATACATATCAAGAAAAATAAAACTATGTGATAATGCCATTAGACACAAAGAGAGAATTTGACAATACCTAACTTCAATTCCTGATAAAATTATAATAAAGTGGAATTAGAAATAACAATTCTATTATATTAGAAATTACACTGTCTGTCACTGTCCTCCCGTTGTTCATTGACTTGCTCGTGTGGGCCCAGTAACGTCTCCATTTTGAGACTTGTTGTTACTGTGTTTGGCATATTGAATACATCAAGGGTAGCTTGCCAGGCTTTGCCGTGTGGGCGAGATACTCTTGGTAGCTTGCTGGGATCTCTGAGAGGGGCAGAAGAATCAAAACAGGCTTGGCTGGGCTGGCTGTGCACAAGGCAAATTCCCTACTGCTGTGCTATCACTCCAGCCCATTAGAAATTAGAAATAACTAATTCTAATTTTATTAGAATTAGAAAGAACAATTTCAATTCCTGATAAAGCATCTTAATAAAATCAATTTGGAAAGAATGCTTCTCAATATAGTTAAAGCTATTTACTACAATCCCACAGTTACTATCATAGTGGTGGAAAACTGAAAGTCTTTCTTCTAAAATCAAGAACAAGGTTTTCCACTATCATGTTATTACTTACATGGTATTGGAAATCTTTGTCAAAGAAATTAGGCAAGAAAGATATTAAAGGAATCCAGATTGGGAAAGAAGTTATATTATCACTGTTTACAAATAATATAATACTATACTTAGAAGACGACGGAAGCGGTCATTGAAGCCCTAGCCAAACAGGGCATTCAAGCCCAATACATCAGGATCCTCCGTGAGCTGCATTGCGGATTCACTACCAGGATCTCACCATTCTACAAAGAAGTGATCGTTGATGTCAAGAGAGGGGTTCGGCAGGGTGATACCATTTCACTGAAACTCTTCAGTGCCACCCTCAAGAACATCATGCGACGACTGGAATGGGAAGGAATGGGAGTGAAGATAGATGGTCTGCAACTACACCACCTCCGCTTTGCTGATGACATTGTTTTAATAACACCAAACATCAGCCACGTGGCACAAATGCTGGCCGACTTTGACCGTGAGTGTGGAAAGGTAGGACTACAGCCGAATCTTACGAAGACAATGTTTATGAGAAACAGCCTCATTCCTGATGCCCCATTCGCCCTCAACGGAACTACCATCTCCGAATGCAACAGCTATGTGTACCTAGGTCAAGAAGTCAACATGACAAATGACCTGGCACCCAAGCTGCGCAGGAGGAAGAGAGCGGCTTGAAACGCCTTCAAGAGCATAGAAGAAATAGCTAAGAGGACGAAGAACCTCCGGCTCCGGGCACATCTCTTTGATTCCACTGTTCTTCCTGCATTAACATATGCCTCAGAGACCTGGACCCTAAGTAAACAGGATGAGAACGCTATTCGGGTCTCCCAAAGAGGAATTGAAAGAGCTATGCTTGGAATATCATGTTTCACTCAAATGAGAGAAAGAATCCGGAGTTCTGACATCTGTGGACGATCAAGAATCAGGGATGCTGTCTCATTTGCCAAGGTGTCAAATATCAGATGGGCTGGTCACGTACTGGACTACAGCTGTTACCGACTGGATTCCACGGGATGTCAAAAGACCGCGTGGCCGCCCACCTACCAGATGGTCAGACTTCTTCGTCAAGATCATGAACGATCGGTTTGAGGCTCTTCATGTCCCCTGAGGAAACAGATGCCATTGGGCTACACTAGCACGCGACAGGGACAAATGGAGACGTTTCTGGCGCCCACTCGAGCAAATCGACGACTAACGGCAAGTTAAGTGATTAAGTGATTAAGTGATACTTAGAAGACCCTAAAGACTGAACAAAAATTTCCTAGAAACAGTAAACCTGTCAGATTATAAAATCAACATGTAGACAGTGATATCTCTTTTACATACAGCATTGAAGTAGAAGAAAGAGAAATTTTTTAGAATCCTACTCTTAATTATGTCTCCAAAAATAAAAATAAATATTGACAAAATGTCAATCTTAACTGAGGCACTGTACAGAGTCAATAAAATGAGGTAATATTTCTATGCCAATTTTTAGATACTTGCTATTGAAATTTATATTGAGCAATAGCCCCACTGCCCACTAAATAGCCAAAAAAATCTTAAAGAAAAGTAAAATGGGAGGCTTCTACTACATAAAATTCAAATTATACTACAAAGCTTTTGTGCAATTTATGACATTTTATAGTAATGATATTGAATCTGGAGGCATCTTTAATGATGCAGTGTCATTGCCAAAGAAAACAGAAACAAATATAAATAAATGGGACTATATTAAATTAAAAAACATTTAACTGACAAAAAAAATAATGACTAGAATCCAAAGACACCCCACAGATTGGGATAAAATATTTGCTCACAACTAATCTAAGAAAGGATTATATATCCAAGATATTTAAATATTTTAATCACTTATAACAACAAAAACAACTCCATCAAAAAATATGGAGAAGAAACAAAAAGACATTTCCTTTAAAAAGCCATACATCTAGCCAGCATATGTATGGAAAAAAATATTCTTCATCACTTTTAATCAGGGAGAAGCAAATAAAAAACAATTAAATATCACTTCACACCAGTGAGACTGCACATATAAAAAAGAGCAAAAACAACCAGTGTGGATGCGGATATGGGGAAACGAAACTCATTTACTACTGGTGGTAATGTCAACTGGCTCAGCCTCTGAAAACCAATGTAGAAACTTTGCCAACTATTAAAAATTGAGCTTCCATGAGGTCCATAAATTTCACTCCCCACTATTCATCTCCAAACTCGAAAAATACTTTCAAAAAGATATGTTCATTGTGGCATTATTCCCAAAAGCCAAATTGTGGAAACAACCTGTGTCCAAGAACAGATTTCTGAATAAGAAACTGATAAATGTACAGAATAGAATATTACTGGACTAGAAGAAAAATGAAAATAACACAGTTCCACTTTGTGGGTGTGAATGGAGTGTATCACGCTGAGTGAAGCCAGTCAGAAGAAGAGACAGATACAGAATGTTCTTTCTTGTCCATGGGTATCAATAAACATAGGATTTGTGTAGGAGATGTCAGTGGTGCACAACCCTGAGGCTGAAGGGACTGCATGTAAATTAGGTGTTCACCTCAAATGGATCATACCTGGGTTCCAGTCCTTTTGCTTCGCCAACAGTGATCCCTGAGCACAGAGCCAGGAGCAAGCTTTGGGACCCAGCAATGACCCCACCCCACCTCCAAAAAAGACAATAGAAGGTAAAAACTGGTTTTCAGAACTAGGTTAAACAAGCAACACATTGGCCACTTCTCACAACCTGACAAATTATGTGTGCTATAGATATCATTTGTATCTCATATTTTATAGTACATTTCTCAGGTAATATCTTAGGTACATATGAAACAAGAGAAATTATTAAAACTGTTTACTCCTGGTAGAAATAAACATTGCAGCCCAAGTTTAACAGCTAGCAAGCCACACCCACACAGACAGAAAGCACCTTGAGGATTCCCAAAGCACAGGAACCTTGCAAGCACACTCCCCCACC